GAATCGAACTCATGCGGAAGTGGCTTCAGATTCTCAGTGCTGTGCTTTAACCCGCTGCACCACCAGGGAGGGCCTAAATGCAGGATTTTTTAAAGAGAGGAAAACAAAGCATACCTAGATCATTCAAAGAAAGTCATAAATACAGTTTGTCATTGTTGATCTTTTTCTTAGTTAGCTATCCTATTTTATAATTGAAATTCTCCTTGAAAAATTAAAACAAGTTGATTAAAAATCTTGGCAAAGAGGTGTAAGCAGTTAAACTTGTTAGAAGAAAATAAAATCTTGAAATAAGTTGTTCAGAGAGAAAAGACTTGTGAATACATTTTGATTTTTGGAAACAAAAGAAAACTATAAAAGTATCTTTGAGGGCCCTCCTGGTGGCACAGCGGCTTAAAGCACAGCACTAAGAAGCTAAAGCCACTTAACCATGAGTTCAGTCCCCACCCTGGAGGTGACCCACATGGCGTGGCAGACCTCTCCTGACCCTCCTGCTGCTCCCCTCAGCAGTGTTCTTCGTCAGTCGTGTCAGTCGGCCTGTTCTGCTCCCCACTCTGTCTCTGGTAAATCCTCTCACCACATGTGAACCTCTGGCCTGTACCCCACTTCTGTATGCATAAATAAATAAATCTTGAAAAAACTATCTTTGCGAATGGGTAGTAACTGAGGATATGTGGTTTTTAAAGCAAATTTTCCCAAATTCTTCAGAATGTTATAGTCTGTTTGAAAATGTTCCTAGCACTCTTAGAAGCAAACAGTTGCTCATACACTGAATGATTGGAACTGGTATGATTCTAACATCTGGAGTCGGACAAGATTATAACCTGAAATCGCTCAAATATTTTTTTATCTGCCCCCAACCTCGTTTAAATACTTTAGAATATTTAAGTTATGAGTTAAGTTATGTCCTTGTATAGCCTGACTAGTCTAAGCATTTTAAGTTTCCAGTAGTATATATTTCAAGACCCTGAATTTTTTTTTTTTTAAGATTTATTTATTTGTGCATACAGAACTGGGGTACAGGCCAGAGGCTCAGGGGTGGTGAGAGGCTTCACCAGAGACAGAGTGGGGAGCAGAACAGGCAGATCGACGAAGTACACTGCTGAGGGGAGCAGCGGGCGGTCAGGAGAGGTCTGCCACGCCATGTGGTCACCTCCGGGGCAGGCAGGAATCGAACTCATGTGGAAGTGGCTTTAGCTTCTCAGTGCTGTGCTTTAACCCACTGTGCCACCAGGGAGGGCCAAGACCCTGAAAATTTTTAAAGGAGCTGCTTTCTTCTAGATAACCTTTCAACCTGCTAGTCTTGATTAGTAAGATGAAACTGTTGGCAGGGCAGAAATAATTGGCTAGGCAATCCCACTCCTAGGTATCTACCCAAAAGACACAAAAACACTGATTGAAAAAGATACCTGCACCCCCATGTGTATTGCTACTTTATTTACAATTGGAAAAACATGGAAGCAGCCCAAATGCCCAAAAGTAGATGACTGGATTAAAAAGATGTGGTACATATATACAATGGAATATTACTCAGCAACCAAAAAAGAGAAACACATGTCTTTTGCAGCAACTTGGATGGAGCTGGAAAAGATCATGCTTAGTGAGATAAGCCAGAAAGAGAAAGAAAAATACAGGATGGTTTCACTCATAGCAGGAGTATAATGGACCAGGCGAGAAAATAACAAAAATAGTGAACAACCATATACCAGAGACATTTTGTGGGGGTAGAGTGGGGAATGGAATCAAAAACGGGGGTGGGGGGTTGGGAGGGAAATGCACGGGATTATGGTGATGGTACACAGGTGACTTGGTGATGGGAAACCCGTGAGGATTACAATTGAGATGGAAAAAAAAATGTACAAAATGATGTAAAAATAAACTTTCGTAATAATAAATAAATAAATAAATAAATAAATAAATAAATAAATAAATAAATTAATTAATTATAATTGGCTAGGACCTGGACCCATTTAAGACAGTATGAGAACTGATCCTGTGAAGTCCCTGGGAATCTGGTACAGAGAGGTTAATCTCTCTAGTTCCTTGTTTATGCAATTTAAAATTTCAAGGAAGTTTTAGACTCTTTCCAAAATTGCATTACTCATGAAGAGAGGAAAAAGGGGATGCAGTTACCTGGGAAACCTGTCTTATAGTAGGTAGAATTTGGGCAGCCAGTTTCAACTGATAATAAGTAAGTAGCCACTCATTCTAGGATTTCACAGGGCAGAAGCTGTGGTGATTTTCTTTCTTTCTCCTTGTATACTAGGGTGTCCTCCATTCTTTAGCCACTTACTTGTGGACTTTGTTCAGTTAATACCTCTCCTTATCATTTTCATTTTCCCTGTTGCTTACCGAACTTTGAAAAAGTTTGAAGGCTAAAAAGGAAGAGGGGGGAAAAAAGTCCATTTTAGTAATTGTGGTCTGTAGGGCTCTCTAAATTATAGGCTCCTGACAGAGAGTGGCTTGAGAATGGAAGTTACTATAAACTACTCTTTCGTGTATCTCCTTAACTTTCTATTTTGCCCTCTTTGAATTTGCCTACTCTCCAATTTATTTTAACTTGTAAATTTTTAAATGGATATCCCTTGGGTACCTCCGTTTGAAAAACAGGCTCCAAATGAAGAGGAACTTTTTTTCCCCCAAAAAGATTTTTTGTACGGTTGTGACTAGTAATGACTAATCACCCTTTCAAAACAAAAACAAAAAACAAAACAAAACAGAAAATACCACCCCATCAAAACAATCAAAAGTGGCAAACTATATACAGACTTGTTACAGACTTGAATATTAATTTATTTTGTGTTTTTCTCCTTATAGGTGTGAAAGTTGTGTGGAATTACTGTTTGTGAGAGGAGCTGGAAATTGTCCTGAGTGTGGCACTCCTCTCAGAAAAAGCAACTTCAGGGTACAGCTCTTTGAAGATCCCACTGTTGATAAGGAGGTTGAGATTCGGAAAAAAGTGCTGAAGATGTAAGTATTGTTACTTGAATGATTCATTTGACAAACAGAACAATCAATTTAATTCAGCAATTGATATAATATAGAAATATGTTGTTTGACAACTGAGTAAGTATAAATTTATCAATGTATTTGCACAACAAAATTTATCCAGTTTTTAGAAAACCACTAATATTATCTAACTTTGAGAGGAGCAGATCCTTTTGATGATGATCTCACTTTTTTTTTTTTTGCTATTTTTTAATTTAATTCACTTATGTTGAATATCTGTTTACAAACACGGTATTATATATAACTATTCACTAGGTGAAAATGAGAACTAACTATGATTCTTATCATCACAAAAATTACAGTATAGTAGCATAAAATAGGCAAACAAAACAAAGTATGTTGTCATCAACTGTTAAAAATGCTGTGAAGTTAGTAACTGACTGTTGGTATGAGTCAGTGAAATCAGGTGATGACAGAGCAATAATGCTTAAGCTGAAATTTGAAGGTTATTAAAGCTATCTGGCTCTGTGCTTTTGTTTTTAGAGAGAATTTTGATTACTATCTCAATTTCCATGATTGTGATCATTTTATTTAGCTCTTCTGTTTCTTCTGGTTAAGTCTTGCTAAACTGTAGTGTTTTAGAAATTTGTCTATTTCTTTTAAGACATCACATTGTTGATATATTGTTTATTATAGTAATTTCTTATGTCCCTTTGTATTTATGTGCCAGCAGTGGTAATTTCTCACCTTTTATTTCTAATTCTGTTAAAAAATGTTTTCTGTCTTATTTGTTAGTCTAGTAGACGTTTATTGATTTATGATCTTTTGTATTGGTTTTGGTTTCTTTTTTATTTACTTTTGCTCTTACTTTTACTCTTTGCTTCTTTCTACTAATTTTGGAGTTTCTTCCACCTTCTCAAATTGCCTTAGGTGTGATATTAAGTCACTTATTTGGAATTATTCCTACTTCCTAAATGTGGACCTGTATTACTTTTGCTGTGTCCCGTAAATTCTGACAACTTGTGTTCTATTTTCTTTTTTTGATTTCTGCTTTAATTTCCTCTTCAAATCAGTGACTATTAAACAGCATGCTATGTATTTAAGGTTTTACCAGTTTTTTTTTATGGTATTATAATCAGAAGGAGTACTTGGTGTCATTTCATACTTCTTAGTTTTATTGATAGTTGATTTGTGTGCCAACATGTGATCTCTTCATGAGTGTGATCTCTTCATGAGAGTGTTCCCTGTGCATTTGTTTTTTTGGATGTTTTTTTGGATGGAGTGTTCTGTAGATGTCTGTTATGCCTGCTTGGTTTAGCTATTTATTTAAGGTTGTTGTGTCCTTATTTATTTTCTCTCTGTTAACCAGTCTATAATTGTAAGTGGTGTATTAAAGTCTCCTTGCATTGGTGTGGTATTATCAATATTTCTCTTTAGTTCTATTAATGATTACTAATAATTGGTGCTCCATCATTTAGTAGATATATATTTATAAGTGTTATTTCTTCTTGTTATGTTAGGCCCTTAATCATATAGAATATCTATATATTCCTTACTCCCTTTTTCAGTGGCAAATAGATTTTTTTTTAAATTTTTTTTTAGATCCACTTATTCATACAGAACTGGGGTACAGGCCAGAGGCTCAGGGGCGGTGAGAGGCTTCACCAGAGACAGAGTGGGGAGGAGAACAGGCAGAGTACCAAGTACACTGCTGAGGGAAGCAGCGGGCGGGTCAGGAGAGGTCTGGCTCACCATGTGGTCTCTTCCCAGGCAGGCGGCAGGCGGGAGTCGAACTCATGCGGAAGTGGCTTCAGATTCCCAGTGCTGTGCTTTAACCCGCTGCGCCACCAGGGAGGGCCCGCAAATAGATTTTTTAAAAAAATGATGAGTATGGTTGTTCCTGACTTTTTTGATTGCCATTTGCTTGTAGGATTGCCTTTCAGTCCATCAGTGTGTGATCATCCTTTAGTGTTAAGCTCTAGTAAATATCAGGAAGTTGCACTTTGTTTTAAAACCTACTTAGTCACTCTATACTTTAAATTAGTGAATTTAGAGCATTTACATTTAAGGTAGTTAGTGAGATATAAGTGCTTTTTGCCATTTTATTATTTAATTTTAAAAAATTTTGTCTGTTTTTAAAAATTTTTATGCCTTCCCTACATGCTTTATTTAGGTACATTTCCTTTGTCTTATACACTCTTTTTATTTGACTTTTGTTTGACTGTTCTGCTGATGGACTATTTTTGTGCTCTTTTGGATAGTTTGATCTCAAACTTGTGAGGGCTACAGTTTTACTCTTCTCTAGATTATATAGTATAAATGTTACCTCTATACTTGTTTTTGGTTGCTTTCTTAATAGTGCCTTAATGTTTCTTTCATGTCTGACTTGTTAATATATTCTTTTCTTTTTTCTCAGTGATGCTCCAACTGTTGTTATTTTTGGTGGTACATTTATTCTTGAAGAATTAATTAATTCTTGAAGAATTTATTTTGTTCATCATTGTTTTAGAAGTGTGTTTCTAGTTACCTCTTAGTTTTATTTTATGAGTGCCCCAATCTGCTTTTCTATTTTTTGTATGGCTTTGGGAGGTAGTGTCAGATTATCTTTTATCACTAGCCCCTATGGATTTTTTTTTAAAAAGATTTATTTATTTGTGCATACAGAACTGGGGTACAGGCCAGAGGCTCAGGGGCGGCGAGAGTCTTCACCAGAGACAGAGTGGGGAGCAGAACAGGCAGATCAACGAGGTACACTGCTGAGGGGAGCAGCAGGCGGGTCAGGAGGGGTCTGCCATGCCATGTGGTCACCTCTGGGGCAGGCGGGAATCGAATTCATGTGGAGGTGGCTTTAGCTTTCCAGTGCTGTGCTTTAACCCGCTGCGCCACCAGGGAGGGCCCCCTATGGATTTTTAATTCTTCACAAGGACATTACTGTATTTGCTGATGTTGTATTTGCTGATGTTCCTGATCTTAGCATTCTTTAGATTCCAACTGTTGTTTAAAAAAAAAAATAGGATGGTCTCATTTAGCTTTCTGGAAATTAGTTATTCTACTTCTAATAAGCAAGCAATGTCATAATTTTCAGTAGTAGATATTATTTAAACTTCCTCAGTATCCTAATTTCTTTTTCTTTCCCTTAAATCTTATATTCTCTCCTGTTTGTATTCTGCTGTTGTCATAAGAATTTAAGAACAACATTCTTGACATTGCAAACCAGCTGTCAACTAAACACTTTTTAATATAATGAAAAATCCTTTTGTGTATGTCCTGTATGAAATAGATAAGAACAAACCAATTAGATAATATTGGAAGCAGGTGATATGTATATGTTGATTTTTGTCTTTTCTTAAAGATATAATAAAAGAGAAGAAGACTTTCCTAGTCTAAGAGAATACAATGATTTCTTGGAAGAAGTGGAAGAAATAGGTATGCTTTTAATGTTTATACTTTTTTGTGCTTTATCTTTCAAATTCCTAGGACAAATCTCACTTAAAAACTTCTAACAAGTTTTTTTGTGATAATTGATTAATAATCAGTTTCTGTTGTATTTGAGTCATGTTTGTTAAATTGAAGGCATACTTCAATAAAGGATATGATTAATAAGCACTTTGTTTTAGTAAAAATATGAATAAAGGTAGTATCACTTTATAAATGGGAAGGGAGGCTATATCTTTGTATAGCATCTGTATGTTAATGATGTGTTAGAGTGAACTAAAGGAAAATATATGGAGATTATTTAAAAGATTTCCATTCACTGTATCTGTGGGGACTAATACTCATATGTTGTTTATTGTTATTTATGCTTCTGTTCACACAGTAGTTTGAAAATACTGTGAAGCAGTTGACTGTTGAGTTGACCATTCTACTATTCAATATTATTCTGGAAGTAGAGGTTTACTTAAAGTAATCTAAGTACCTTGTCTTTCTGATGTCATTTGTCAAAAAGATGCTTTTTTTTTTTGTCAAAGGAAAGTATTTCTGTTTACATAAATAGACTTTAAAGATGTTGAAAAGTCTGGCGGTTGTGAGGGCCTTCCTTGTGGTGCAGGGGTTAAAGTCTCAGTGCTTTCAAGCTATTGCTAGCCACTGCAGCAGTCTCTGGCCACATGGCCCAGCAGACCTCTCCTGTCTCCCCCACTGCTTCCCTCAGCAGTGTATTTCAGTAGATCTGTCTGTTCTGCTCTCCATTCTGTCTCTGGTGAATCTTCTCACATCCTGTATCTGGGGCCTACACCCCAGTTCCTACATCAAAATAAATAAATATTTTTGAAAAGTCTGCAGGTTGCGGAATAACAATATAACAATTAAAAACATTAATGTTGTTTCTTAATGTTGTCATTACTAATACTACTTAATACAGCTTTGGAAATGATACAATTATAGACTGAAAATTAGAATGTGACTAAGATAATTTAAGCAATCATCGTTTTTACTTTTCTCTTCAACCTGGTAAACAAGTTATATGCATTTTATTTTTTATTGAAAATATGCTTATAATAAATTTGACCATTTTCAGTGTTTTTTTGTGTGAAAAATTGTAGAAAATTCAAATCTCTGAGGAATGGACTATTTTATTTTTAAGATTTATTTATTTATGCGTACAGGTCAGATGTGCAGGGGCAGAGACAGAGTGTGGAGCAGAACAGGTCTATCAACAAAGTACACTGCCGAGGGGAGCAGCAGGCGAGACAGGAGAAGTCTGCTGTGCCATGTGGGTCAGCTCCCTGGTCAGGGCTACGGCTAGCTTCATAGTGCTGTGTTTTAACCTGTTGTGCCACCAGGGAGGGTCTGAAATGGAGTGTTCTAATTCCTTTAACTTTTTTTATTAACTGAGAAAAGCTTAGAAAATCTTTTTATTTTAACTATTTTTTCAAATATTTAAAATTATGTAATTTCATTTATTATGTCATACAAACAGCATGTGCAGAATATACTTTAGGCGTTTTGGGGATCTTTTAGGATCTTGGAGCTGTTGTTTTTTATTGTATTCATTACACTTTGTACATCTTGGCAACCTTGAGTACCTGTGGATTTTAGCTGAAAAAATGGTAGAATTGGGAGTGCCAAGATAAAGTAGAAAAGTTAGGATGTAGATTAAGAAGATAAATCAAAAAGAAGTCTACAAGAACTGGGCAAACATGCAGAAATCTAGTTACATATAGACATTAAGTGTACAAAAAGCAGTTGGATAGCAAGCAGGAAAAAACCCAATGTAACATGTATTCTAAAGGCAGTGAATGTCTGATCAGATAATGAAGGGAAAGGAGTTTTAGATGTCACATAGCAAGCTGGCTACATTGTCATTAGTCTAAACAGGCAGGCAAGATAAGTGAAAGGAACTTATGGACAAAGAAGGAAGAGAAGAGGGGATCTTGATTCTGGAACAACATATTAGTTGAATGATGATTAAAAATATCAATGTATACATTCTGCTGTTAGATGAATTTGAAGATATGAATAACCTGTTGACCGCAGGTAAAACTGGAAGGAAGTGGGAATTAGACTTGACAGGTAAGAACAAGTCAGAAACTTAGGGATGTACAATATGTGATGTCTTTTTTACCAAATAAAGAAATCTGTGACTCAGAGCATTTTATTTGGGAGTGATTGTGCTATTAGATTAGGTATATTCATGAAGAACTGTCTTCATTTATAATGTGTTGAAAGTCTTTTAACCACTCTCCATTTAATTGACTTATTGGAGTAACTTATATTTCCCAGAGTTTCCTTAAAATGTATTTATTGACTGGTGCCTGAATACATGATGAATCCTTTTTATTAGACAATATCCTAAAATACACCCCTGTGCTTCTCTCAACAGTTCAGTAATATACCTAGAGTTGGTTGTAGGGTTGATAACCAAAATTTCTTATGCTAGTTGTAATTGTTATTGTAATTGCATAATTTAAATTGTAAATTTTTAAGGTAAGAAAAAGTTGCCAAACTCTACTAGGATGTTACTTCTCAGGTTCTTGGGCCATTTTGAAAAAATAAAAATTGAATGATATATACAATAGACGTGTTTTCTGTAAGATAGAAGCACAACTTAATTATAAGACTAGAACCTTGGCTAGATGTCATTAAGTTAGAGAATGACTGTATGTATACTTACTGTATTTGTTTTATGTTAAAGTCTGTATATGTGTTTCTTTCTTTCCTTTAACATACTTTTCTAAATAATCAACTAATAATTCTGATCGTGTTGGATGAATAACAGTTCTATTGAGTTTGAAAATATTGAAGATGTTTGCAACTTAGGCTCATGGACATAGTTTTCTCTGAGTCAGTTCAATTCAACAAATAGTTAATGTTCTATGTGAACCTCTTTACTTACTGGGATATATGATCTTTACCTTTAATAAGTTCAGTCTCTAAGGGTGGAGATATAATATCAAAGTAGTAGTGTCATCTATTTATAAAGTGTTAGAGTAATGCAGAAAACTAAACAATTCAACATTGAGAAATAGAGGTAGTTGGTAAAGTTCAGATAAGAGGTTATATTTGAATTTGATCTTAAATCGGAGTTTATCAGGTAGAAGAATATTTATAGTAAAAGACAAAGTCACAGAGATACCAGGGTAATTATAGTATGTTGAGGAATGAACAAAATAATCTATTATATGTAGGTAGAACTTGGGAAATAATTGTCGTGAAAAACAAAATGGATTTGAGTTTTTAAGGGCTTTGTAAATTAGGCTGTCACGGTAAAATTTTATTCTACAACCAATAGTCAGCAGGATAGTGTATGGTATAGTGATTTAGAATATTGGTGGGAGATACTGGAGGCTGATAAACCTTTTTTTTGTTAAAGGTTTATTTATTTATGCATACAGAGCTGGGGTACAGGTCAGAGGTACAGGGGTGGTGAGAGGATTCACCAGAGACAGAGTGGGGAGCATGACAGGCAGATTGACAAAGTACACTGCTGAGGAGAGCAGTGGGAGTGTCACCAGAGGTTTGCCTTGCCATGTGGATCACCTCTTGGGCAGGGATCAAACTCATGCTGAAATGGCTTTAGCTTCTCAGTGCTGTCCTTTAACCTTTGTTAAAGCACAGGGAGGGTCCTGATACACCTCTCAAGGGGACATCACAACAATTTGAGAAGTAATAAGAGCTGGAGTTGGTAGTATCAAGTGAATAGATAAAGGTGATGTTTCAGAGAAAAAATATTCAAATGACTAATTTAATAGAGGAAATGAGGTACGAAGAAAGGCAAAGGTGAATTAAAATTTCTTGATCATGTGCAGTTGTGAAGTATTCATCAAGATTAAAAACTAGGGAATGGGCAATATTTTTTATTGTTTTATTTTGTTGAGTAGAGAGTATTAAATGAGGGAAAGACTAGTTTTAGCCTTTTTTAAAAGCTTGTTAGGGTGTAACCCTACCACTCAGTAATGTGTCATTGTTCTGATTATCATGGTATTAAATAAAGCCTCCTATAAAAATCTTGTTTTAAAAGCTGTATGCTTTGTATTCAATTGTGCTTTTATAGATGATTAGTTAGATTTGTTAGATAACATCTGTATTAACCAAAAGTATAAACCATTAATTTACTGGGCACTTACTGAGTGCCACATGGAGATGTACTTAGATCACTTAATAATTTTCACAGTTCTGGGAGAAATGAGTATTTTGTATCCCTATTTTGTATATGGAGAAGAGGTACAGAAAGCTGAAGTATTATGCCCAAGAACAACACATTGTTAGTAAATTATGGGGCCATTTTTTGAGCCTAGGTTTTTCTGAATGAATCCACGAAAGTGCTTGGTAGTCTGAGAGAGGTGTCAGTGGTCTACATCTAGACTCATGGGGGTGCTTATGATAGAATAGTGGAAAATTTGAAGAAAAGTAGATGGGGATCATATTTCTAAGGATCTTAGAGATCCTACCCTGCAGGTAGTAGTGTCCTGCTGAAGGAATGGGTGTTGTAGGGTTGGTAGGGAGTTAGTGTGTGAGGGTTTATTAATTGATTTTTGATAATTTTGTTGCATAGTTCATGAAGAATCCTTTTAATCTCACAAATACAATATTTAAAGATATTACAACTTTGAATTTGGCATACAATTAATAGTAGAAGGGGCACACATGAAGACAAACTTTCTTATAGCTCTAACAGTAGGCTCTTTTTTTTGTGGTTATAACACTAAACATAAAAATTCTTGTTCCTTTTGACCCCAGGGATTATCTCAAAGGTTTGTTCTGAATTTCATAATAAACAGATTATTCTTTTGGTTCAGTGTATGCTTATTTTAAAAGGGTGAGAAAGTCCTAAGGGCTTTAATTATAAATTCTGGATGTCAAAAAGACTTCAAAATTGTACTTAAATAACATTAAATCTTTCAGGAAATACAATAGGTTTTTGTTGGCTTTTAAAACTTGACTACAGGCAGGTCAGCATCTGAGCTAAGTCAATAATCAGATAAAGG